TATTATTAAATTTTAAAGAACCACTTTAAAGGTACTAGAAAACAAGAATCAGATAGCACAGAACATGAAAAAACCATAATGGCTATTAAAAAAAGTTTCTTACACACAGCTGCGCCGGTTCAACTAAATCACAGTCTTCTAAACCCCGTGATGCCAAATCAGAGACTCCTCTGACTCCGGACAACACATCAAGTGGAGTGGCGTTCAGTTGTGCAACGCTTTTGGTGTGTGACAAAATGTCCACTGGGGACTTAAATCTAGACCAGGGTAGCTATCCTCTCATTGCTCTGTGTTACGTTTGAGCCTTGGTCTGCATGACAAGAAGTCAGAATAATATGCCAGCGCTTCTCTCCCCTCCCCGTGCTCCTCTGCCCCAGCAGCGTTTCTTACGTTCTGGGCACGTATACAACTGGCGAAGGAGCCACGTTCTGGAAGGCCCTTTATTGATTAGGTGCAAAACAGCATCAAGAAGTGAATAATAAGCATAATCTGAAAAGTGTAGCTGCGTGTCTTGCCCTTGTAAACATTTACTATTTAATGGTGTAATTGTACTTTAATCCTTCACATCATCTGATATAACTCATTGTGTTTTTCTTTTAATTACCAAACAGACAATCCAAAAAAAGCAAAGCCCAGAGAGTTTGTATGTGCCGTAAAAACTGAAGTGAAAACAGTTTTAAAATAATCAAATGTTCTCTCTTTGGATGCAGGCTTATCTTTTTAAAGTCAAAAGAGAACTTCATTGGCACAGGGTAGGAAAAAGAACTCCATAATTCATGACAATACCAAAAAAAAAAGTTCTTCTCCTTCTCCAGGAGGACTGGAAAGGGCACTTTTATTTATCTTCTGGACAGACAAAAATAATAGAACCTAGACCAGATATGCTGTAATTAATGTATCCAAAGGTCAACAGGCAATGGTATTTATACAATAGATGGGTGCAGACTACGCTGGTTATAGTATTAATCACGAGTATTTGAAAATAGCATTGTTTTCTTCCTAGGTAAGAACTTGACAAAGTTTCAGAAACAGAAAAGAAACTTTTTTCTCTCTCTCTCATACCTGCCTGCTGTTATTTTTAACCAATTGTTCTTTAACTCGTGAGATGTAATATTTGGGAGAAATATACCTGAGTTTACAGTCACCCAAGACTGCCAAAACCAGACCCAGACTACCTCACTAGTTGTGTTGAGGAAACTAAATTAAGCAAGGGCAAATACCAACTGGAAAGTTGTCAGTTTATTGAATGAATGGCTTCATTTTACACACCAGTTAGAATACCTTAATCAGAATATATTTCTGTTCAAGGCCAATACTTTTACTACCAGGTGGCAGTTTGTTTTAACTGAAACTGTATTAAATTTGTAATTTATTTCCACTTGACTTTCACCTAACAAAAAGGGTTGTCAGATTCCCAGCCTATCGTGTTCAAAAATATTTAACCATAAACTTTCTCACAATGTTACATTTGGTGTTACCCACAACCTTTATTAAAGCGATACTGCCAGTGTGGCTGCAGTTAAGATCTGAGAATGTTTCTATTAAGAGTATTACATTAAAATATCGTCAAGCGTTTGTAAGAGACATAAATATTCATGCACATACGCCCCCCCCAATCTTAGAAGGAAAGTTCCACATAAAAAGAAAAATTTAAATACATACCAAAAGTTGCCTGTTTGTAATTACAATTTTGGGTTTTTCCTAAATGTCTTTGCTAATTTTTTAACTCTTTCACACTGTAATGTAAAATAGTTTTATTTCAAAGCAACTGCCTGATAAAGTGCTAAAAGAGGTAATTCGCATGAACAGAAAGTAATTAGTCATTGTTTGCACAATGCTTTGAAAATATAAACCCCGATGTTTCAACTAGCATTAAAATATAATGATTGGAATACACAGATTTGACAGGCAACAATTCCATCTCACAGACACTTGAGCCCACACACAAGAATTAGTATTATGCTGTTATTAATGAACTATCACGATATGTGAATAATAACCTTCTTTACACTCAGTCAGACCATATATGATAATAGTGTGCACTATGAAAGTTTAGTACAAATGCTAGACAAGACATTATAGAAAATAATCCTGCTAGGGTTTCGTCAAATATTACTGAATTTACCACTGATAAAAATGTAAGTCAACCCACAAAGCTACCATATAAATTATACTAAAACTGCATTAAAAATATAAGAGGATAACCTGGCTGCATCGTGTTTGATGCCTAAAGAAGTCTCAGATCTCTGAAGTTGTCATTTACATTTTTTTCCTTTATTAACATTACTATGAAATAAAGAAAAAAAAAAAGCCATCCTCTCTCAGGCAAAGACTGCCCAGTGTTATTTAGAGTCTGTTTTAGAGAATCACAGGCAAAACATGTAAACTTAATAGCTGATGCAACTTTGCCTTTTACTTACTTTGTTGTGACTACATATACGCAAAGTTTCAAACAGATGAAGTTTCAAACCTGATTATCGGACAGAACAGGGTGGATTATGGACTCTTCTCATATCTAATCTCCCTTGATTTTAAAAAGGTGAAGCAGACTTCTGTTGTCACAGTGTAAGGATAAACTCGTATATAGGCACTGATGCACTATGTGGCAAACCTCAGGCAGGTATACATTATTCAAGAAGAAAAAAGAAAAATACTTTTTTTCCTCTTTACAGAGAAAGGTTCCACTTGTTTGGTTTCACCATGTTATTAACAAACTTTCATTCAGTGGTTAAAAAAGAAAAAAAAAAATCTTTCAAAGTGTTGATATCATTTCCAGACAGTCTTGTCAGCATCACAACTTACAGGAAATAGTTGATGTTCTCAAACAAGCCCTGTATTTACTCATAGACCCAGAGTACTTAAAAAAAAAAAAATCCTCACTCTTCTGGAGGGTTTTATTTAAATGTCACTCTGGTGGAATATCTGAGAGAGCTGTCTAACCTAACACACAGCTTGTGAACATGAGGCAAACACAGGCTGCAGTTCAGAAGACTACTGTAACTTTTATTCTCATTTTGTCCACGTCAGGAACTGGCTCTTACCACTATTTTCCTTTGCTGCCCCTTGCATTTTTAACTCTGGCAGTCTTCTCTAAATGTTCAACTTTTCCCAAAACTAACAGGAAAGTTAACATGATGCCACCAACATCCATAGGATTCAGTTGTGGAGTGGAAGACGACTGCCTGAATGGCAAAGAAGTTTGATGGTTCCTTGAGAGACTTTATGGAACTCGATTAAATAAAACCTGAAGCGTATTAAATTATTGTCTGTTTCCATCAACATTCAAAATGCGCTGCGTCCTGTAAAAGCAGTAAAGGCAGCATGGTCCGCAAAACAGCTTACACTCTTTTTAGTAGAGAATCTTTTCCCCTCGGAGGGGACTTGTCGCCTCGGTTCCCCAAGGGTGCTGGAGATACTTCTCGGCTCCTGCTCTGCCAGGCAAGGTGCTCGCACTGGCGGAGAAGTGATGGAAGGGAGACGTCTCTCCACTTCAGCTCATCACTTACTCCCACAGCTCAATCAATGCACTGGATAAGTTTGCCATTTGCAGATAGAAAACACAACCGGTCGTGGAAAAAAAAGATAAAGGAGACTAGCGGGCCCCACGAGAACCCGCGTAGGAGTGCCGGTGCCTGAGCGCCGAGATTTGCAGCAAGGGAGGCAGATAAACAAAGCCCCCGAAATGTCAAGTCCCCTTGGGGAGCCATTCGCGTCCCAGGGAAGCGCGGCGGCGGCAGCACCCGGGCCCGACCCTGCGCGGCCCCGGCCCCGCGGCCGCCCACCAGAGCCCGGTCCGGGCCACCCCGGCTGCCCCGGCCGCGGAGCGCCCACCGCCGCGCTGCCCCTCCATTCATTCCTCCCTTCGCAAAGCCACACGCGGGCGAGTGCAGCAGGAGCAGCCCCCGGGCCGGGGGGGGCAGGGGGGTGAGACGCTCCACGAAGTTGTGGCAGGCAGGGAGAGCCGGGCGCGGGGACGCAGCGCTGGGAGCGGGGCTTCGCCTTTAAGAGGGAAAAGTTTTACGTCTCTCTGAGCTCTGATTAAAAAAAAAAAAAAAACTAAACCAAAACAACGAAAAAAAAAATCATCACCACCATGTCGCCTGTTCCGTCGGTGTGACCGGGAGGGACCCCGAGCCCCCCTCCCGGTGCAGCACCGCTCCGCACCCGGCCTCTGCCGGTGTGTCTCTGGGCACGAAGACGGAAAAGGGGAAGGGAGTGGGGGGGAGGAAATAAAAAAAGAAAAAAAAAGAAAAAAAGTTTTTCCCAAACTTACTACTGTGCATGATGGTGTCTCTGTGCCCCGCTTGTCATGATCCCCACTAAAACTTCCAGCAGCGGCAGGAGCGGCAGGACTGTGCGACTGCAGCCCATCGGATGCGAACCCTCTGTGCTCGTCTTCTACTTCCACCCCCCGCGTCTCCCTTCCCCTCCCCCCGAGCACCCCGGTGCCGGGGAACCGGCGGCCGCGGAGATAAGGCGCGGAGCGGCGCGGAGGGGAGGGCAGAGCAGAGCCGCATCAGCCCCGCGGCCGCCGCCGCCGCTCTCCTCCCCGCCTCCGGGCCGGGGGGCTGCTCCCCCTGCCCGCCGCCGCTGCTGAACTTGACCCTCCCGACTCCAGCGGGGCTACCGCCGTTTTGAAGTCGCCAATTTCCAGCCATCACACATGGCTTTGACCCACCGGCGGGGGGAACGGGGGGCGCGGGGGGGATGCATCGAGAGAAGCCTGTGAAATCCGAGCAGCCCCCCGTTCCCTGGGATTATGCCCATCCACCCTCCGCTTTTGTAGTTGTTTTTAATTTTTTTTGGGGGGGGGGTATTTTCTGGGGGGAGAGGGTGCACCCCCACTGCCCCCCCACCGGGCACACGCCGATCCCGCCGCGGGCGCCGCGCCCCCGCCCCGCGCGCGCCCCCCCAGCGCCCGCCGCCGCCGCGCCGCCCCCGCCCGGCCCGCGGCCGCGGCGCCCTCCCCGCCGCCCCCGCCCGCGCCCCCCCGCGCTTACCTGTTGATTAACCGGCAGCAACAGCCCCGGCAGCCTGGAAGATGGTGGAGCCGCGGCGCGAGCCATGAACCGTCTCCTGCTGCCGGCGGAGTTGGACGCGGATTATGTGGCGGTGGCCGAGGAGTAGCGGGGGGGGTGGGGGGGAGCGGGGGGCCGCGGCGCCGCTGCCTCCCCCCTCGGCCCCGCTCGGCGGGGAGGGGGCGACGGGCCCGCCGGCGGGCGGTGCGGTGCGGCGCGGGGGCGGGGGCGCGGCGGCCCGGGGGGCGCGGGCCGGGGCACGGCGCGGCGGCCCCGCCGGCGGCGAGGCGGCGGCCTGGGAGCGCGGGGCGGCCGGCGCGTTATCGGGACTGTTATCGCTTGTCAGGACCTCCGTCTCCCCGCATTACGTCAGTTTCAAGACACCAACACTATTAATATCAAAGGAGCCTTCGCGGAGGAAAGCGCCACCCCAGACGGAGCGCCCTTAAAGAGACAGTGCAGGCGGCCCCGCCGCGCGGCCCGCGCCGCCCCCCGCCGCCGCCTCCGCCCGCCGCCGCCGCCGGGCCACGGCCACGGGCAGCGCGGGCCGGGCCCGCCGGGCCGGGCCGGCGGGCGGAGGGGCCGCGAGGACCTGCGCGGGGCTGCAGCGGGGATGGCCGCAGGCCACAGGCGCGCCCCCGGCTCTGCTCGCGGCTGTCACCGGGACCCGCGCCTGTCCTGCGGGATTGGAATAGGGGAGGGTGGGGAGAAAAGGCGCGACCCAGCAGCTGCCACCCTCGAGAGACCCCAGCTCTGCGCGTGGTCTCCCGCAGACTTAGTGTCACCTTCCTGCCCTGTCCCCCCCTCCCCCCGTCTGTGTGCGGGTGCTGAGGCGGGTGGGCAGGCGGTTCCCAGGTTGTGGCATGAGCAGTCCCGTTACCGCCCGCTCTTTGATACGGGTCGCAGGTCAGTTCCCGAAACTGCTCCGAGAAAAATCCTCACAACTTTTCCTCCTTGTGCAGAACTTTTTCAGTTCGAAATACTCTACTTTCCCCTGTGCTACGAACTGCTAGAAGTCTGCATATTAATGTAAAAACTCTCTCCAAGGAGAAGTAGTACATAAAAGGTTCCTGTGAAAGGGTTTTAAAATCCCAAATATAGTAGGCGTTAAAAACTATGTAAACATTTGTTGGGCATTTGGACACAATTTTTCTGCAGTTAGGTGACTTTATATGGCGTGCTTTTCCTCCCATGCAAGTCATTTTAAGCTGATTTCACATCAAAATAAGTTCTGCTCGCTTGCAACTACTAATACATTATTCGAGGAAGAAGCTGGAAAAAAGTTAAATCATTACAGTTCAAGAGATGAAGCTACTTTCCCCCTAATGTTTGAGATGACATAACTTTTTTCCTTACAATTTTACTCTCAAATACATGGTGAAATGTAAAGCATAAAATCTTCAGAGATACATGCTGATGCAAATGAAACCCTTCTGTAAAACGTATGGTGTTCGCAGCCCTTGCTCCAAACTTAAACATTCTTCATACATGTTTAGTATAATCCACTGGCAGATTTGTAAAGTAATTGCTCATGTAAATCACCCAGTAACACATTTCCCCCTTAAGTTCTTTTGTAGGATTGTCTGATAAAGCCCTTTATGAATAGAAAAGCAATAATTCACATACAAGAGGTGAACTTGTCATGTTGAAAATGGAAGGTAAAATATAGTTGCACGATGAGGCACACGCAGTGGGATCTCTGACACAGGGAAAGGAGAACTGACTGATTATGTGTGGGATTTCCTCTATACCCTCCTGCAGAAAATGAGTTCGGAGCAGCAGAGATGTTTATATATGGAATGCGAAGGAAAGTAATATCAGAATTTAAAATTCGTTGCAAAGTCTGCCTCGATACTTTAGTACCGGGGCCAGGCTCAGTAGCACCTCACTCATATGCGCACAGAGAACCTTTCCTGACTTCATAAATTTACTTTTTCTGAAGCTGCAAATGCCATGGCTGAATCACAGTCGAAGAGATAAATCGCTTGCACAACTCTCAATGAATGCAGAATTCTGAAAAGTAAGTGATTTTGCCCCATTCACATAAATTCAAATGTGTTCTTCTCAGCAATTTTGATTTTATTATTTTATTTTTACTGAGTATATCAACCCCAAGTGACTATTCACTTGGCATATGTCTTGCATAGGAAGGGTTAAAATCGGCAGGTATTTTGTCTGATGACTTGGCTAAGCATCTTACAAGCAGGGCTTGAGTGGAAAATATTTAAACAAGGATAATTTCCCTTTACTTCTCTGTTCTAGAGAGACTTATTAATGTCTTTTTATTTTAAACCAGGAAATGATGCCCCCCACACCTTAAATCCCTGCCAGTTCTTATGTGTGGCTGCAGCTTTCCCAGATTTTATTCACATTATGACAGGCAAACTGTGAAGATCGATAACAGTGAAAGCACAGGTTTCAACATGTGCAAACCTTGATAACAAGCACACCTTTTTTCACCTGTAGAACAGTATTATAGAGGTGTGTTTTTAAAAGACATAAGCCTCTCTGTGCATACACTTTTAAAATGAAACCACAAAGCCATTCATAAGCAAAGATGAGAAGGACAAAACATGTCTTCATAGTTTCAAGTAGACAACTCTAATGAAATACTCTATCTCTCAGAAAAAGTTTGTTACTGTATCTTTATTAAAAATGCTTTCGTGGTGCATTCTGAATTTCTCGTTAAAGCAGATCAAGATGATGTCAATATCAATCTGTTTATATTCACCACAAAGAACTGTAGAGAACTTAATAAAGGCAAAAATATTTTCATAAACTTTTTTCAGGCAAATTATTTATTTATGAAATAATTTACGAAGAAAATTTTTACCTCATGGCTTAGATACATTGCATATGCTTATGATTGACACAATATGTTCAGACTCAAAGGCCCATATAGACCACTTTTTTTTTTTTTTTTTTTAATCCTAGCAGGAATATTTCAAAACAACCAACTAATTCATGAAGTCATACAGTAATTGTTTGCCAGTTGTTTCCAATATAGGAAAATAAGTTATGTATATTGTTTTCATTCAAATATCTGTTGATTTGTTGTTAGAATCCTTTGACATTGACATGCCACAAATTGCATTAGGAGAAATATTGGAGATTTATTTTTGTTTATTATCTTATGCTGTCAAACTTTTCCAAAACCGCTTTAAGAAAGTTTTATTTCACTTTATTCAGAACTGCATGGAAGTAGGTTGTTGTTGAAATAACAAATTCAGCTTTCTGTAATAGATAAGAGCTGAGGAAATGAAGGAAAAGCAGCAAAGTGAGAAGATGCAGAGAAAGTGCTGCTTTCACTGAGAGGCATGAACAAAGTAACTTCTAAATAATCCTCCGTGGTTTTTTACACTCAGGCACATTCTCCATTGAGGGAGAATACAGAGGCCAGTCACAGTTGCTTCTTGAAGGAAAACAGTATAACAGTCATTGTTTATCAAGATGACATAACATGCCATTTTTGCCTTTATTGTTTAATGCAGTTTCTCTTGTAGTTTACTCAGCGTAGATACAAAGAGGGATTAACAGTTAAGCATAAGCATACTTGTTTTACAATTTCAGCCTTTTAGTGCATAACTTACTTATTTAAAGTACTAGAGCCTATAATCACAATGATTTTACCTGATGGAACATGCATTTCAGAAATATAATCCAACTGTTTACCCTAACACATCATAAATTGCAATTCTTTACAAAAACCTCAGAGATTGACATCCATTGCTCTTAAATGCCTGCTGCTTTAGCACACATCATCAAGAAAGTATTTCTGTATTATTCTCCCTCCGGTTGGTAGTATATCACATGAATTCTAAAGACCGTTTTCTTAAACTGTCTTCAATAATGAGCATTTTGAGAAGCATTTAGTTATGTGTCTGAGGCACTCCAGTGCAAGTTTCTTGGGATCATAAACACGGCAACTTGCAGGATTTCTGCAGACCCACTTCTTTTCCTTGCACAGCTTTTGTCACATGAAATCATCGGGTAACTTTTGTTCCCTGTCTTACACCCTGCAAAAAGTCAAGTTTCTAAATTTCAAGTTGTGTGCCAAAGGCTAAAAACTACCACTGATTATCAAAGAAACAGGACTGGGGACCCTAAGGATGTAGTTGAAACTTCTCTGAAAAGAGATTATGCATTGTGATAGACAGGGCAGCGCTGAGAACAGCCAGTGAAACAGCATGCAACAGAAGAGCTAATACCATGGCATCATCCCAGATTCAACAGATGTTTTCTAGGGGGATTGGATATCTGGTAATGGGAAATGGAACCTTTCTTTTCTATGTCACTGGTTTTAACACAGGCCAGTAGCGATGGAAAGTCAATAATATCCGATGCTTATTTGGTAGCTTTCCCCACTGCGTGGTAGAAAAATGTCCTCCTGACTGTAACACACCATGGCTGGCCAGGACTTTCCAGCACCCCGGTGGCACTGCTGGCAAAAGGGCCTTGTACAGAAATGCTTGGAAACCCTTTTCCCTGTGAGCAGTCTCCCAACGAGGGCCAAGGAACACCAACCAGGCATAGACTGCTCCTGCTAATGGTGTGTCTGCAGATAGTTAAGTAACTCTGGCAGCCACAAAAGATAATTTATCACTTTACACTATCATAAAATCTACTAGAAAATTAAAAATGCTAAAACACCAGACTCCCTAAAATCATTTACATGCAGGAATCCACATAATTGTATAGATTTTGATCTTAAAAATGCTATGTAAAAGGCATTCATCCAAAGTCTGAAAAGTCTCACATGCACATGCACATACATATGAAGTAATACATAATGAGTGTCTCCCAACAAATATCAATAGAAGTGGCAGCATTTCTTCCCACATTTCAACCGCAAGTTCAGCAAATCAAAACAACTTGAGCCCCCTGTCCTGTCATCACCCCCTGCCAGACAGAGCCACTACCTTTCCCTGCCTCAGTTCCAAATTCATCTTCCCTCCAGCATTTCCAGCATTTCTATGAAGGTTAATCCAGATCAGTTCAAAGTGCACTGAAGTCAATGGAAGAAAAAAAAAAAAGCTATAAGCAAGTTGTTATTACATTAGGTCCTATATGCAAGTATTTTTCAATCTTATCCCTAAGGTTCACTGCTATGAAATTACAGTATTCTGGACATAATAATATTAAAACTCATTACAGTGTCTCCTAATATAAAATAACAATTCTCTA